ATCCCTCACAGTGACTCGTTGTCTTCTGTTGCTTAGGTACTCCCTTATCTAATGGAGTACCTTCCCTTTCACTCCTGCCTGCATCTCCAGCTTATGCACTAGCCTCTTGTGTGGTAGTGTGTCAAAAGCTTTCTGGCAATCCAAAAATATGCAGTCTGCCCACCCCTTTCTTTCTTGCCTGATTTTTGTTGCCTGGTCGTAGAATTCAAGTAACCCTGGGAGGCATGACTTGCCATCCCTGAACCCATGTTGATGCTGTGTCACAAAGTTCTTTCGCTCCAGATGTTCCACTAGCTTTCTTCGCACAATCTTCTCCATCAGCTTGCATGGTATGCAGGTTAGGGACACTGGCCTGTAGTTCAGGGCTTCTTGTATATCGGCACTACATTAGCCGTCTTCCGCGCGTGTGTGTGTGTGTGTGTGTGTGTGTGTGTGTGTGTGTGTGTGTGTGTGTGTGTGTGTGTGTGTGTGTGTGTGTGTGTGTGTGTATTCACTTAGTTGTGTTTGCGGGGGTTGAGCTTTGCTCTTTCGGCCCTCCTCTCAACTGTCAATCAACTGTTTACTAACTACTTCTTTTTTTTCCACACCACATACACACACCCCAGGAAGCAGCCCGTGACAGCTGGCTAACTCCCAGGTACCTATTTACTGCTAGGTAACAGGGGCATTTAGGGTGAAAGAAACTTTGCCCATCTGTTTCTGCTTCGTGCGGGGATCGAACCCGCGCCACAGAATTACGAGTCCTGCGCGCTATCCACCAGGCTACGAAGCCCCTAGTGTGTGTGTGTGTGTGTGTGTGTGTACTCACCACCAAAGAGGTTAGTACACACACACACACACACACACACACACACACACACACACACACACACACACACACACACACACAGTTACATGTACCTGCCACAAAAAGTGTTATATATCCGTGATGGTGAGCTTGTTGAGTGTAGTCAACAAGGGGGCAATGTTACATTACCAATATTATGTTGCAGTCTCAACATTGTCACGGGGTGTTGGCACTCTCTTGGTGATCATTGGTGAGTGTTGGCACTCTCTTGGTGATCATTGGTGAGTGTTGGCACTCTCTTGGTGATCATTGGTGAGTGTTGGCACTCTCTTGGTGATCATTGGTGAGTGTTGGCACTCTCTTGGTGATCATTGGTGAGTGTTGGCACTCTCTTGGTGATCATTGGTGAGTGTTGGCACTCTCTTGGTGATCATTGGTGAGTGTTGGCACTCTCTTGGTGATCATTGGTGAGTGTTGGCACTCTCTTGGTGATCATTGGTGAGTGTTGGCACTCTCTTGGTGATCATTGGTGAGTGTTGGCACTGTGGTGATTGGTGAGTGTTAGCACTGTGATGATTGGTGAGTGTTGGCACTGTGATGATTGGTGAGTGTTGGCACTGTGATGATTGGTGAGTGTTGGCACTGTGGTGATTGGTGAGTGTTGGCACTGTGATGATTGGTGAGTGTTGGCACTGTGATGATTGGTGAGTGTTGGCACTGTGATGATTGGTGAGTGTTGGCACTGTGGTGATTGGTGAGTTAGCACTGTGATGATTGGTGAGTGTTGGCACTGTGATGATTGGTGAGTGTTGGCACTGTGATGATTGGTGAGTGTTGGCACTGTGGTGATTGGTGAGTGTTGGCACTGTGATGATTGGTGAGTTTTGGGTGTTGGCACTGTGATGATTGGTGAGTTTTGGCACTGTGGTGATTGGTGAGTTAGCACTGTGATGATTGGTGAGTGTTGGCACTGTGATGATTGGTGAGTGTTGGCACTGTGATGATTGGTGAGTGTTGGCACTGTGGTGATTGGTGAGTGTTGGCACTGTGATGATTGGTGAGTGTTGGCACTGTGGTGATTGGTGAGTGCTGGCACTGTGATGATTGGTGAGTGTTGGCACTGTGGTGATTGGTGAGTGTTGGCACTGTGATGATTGGTGAGTGTTGGCACTGTGATGATTGGTGAGTGTTGGCACTGTGGTGATTGGGTAGTAACAATAATAACAACAATAGGAGTAAGGAGAAGACCAGGTTACCACCACTGGTGACCCCCGCCACCTCTTAAGTCTTCTCGAAAGTTCACCTGTAAGACATGTGGTGGTGGTGGGGGTGGTGGGGGGTGATGGTGGTGGTGGTGGTGGTGGTAGTGATGGTGGTGTTGGTGGTGAGGGTGATGGTGGTAGTGGGGGTGGTGGGGGGTTGATGGTGGTGGTTGTGGTGGTGGGGGTGATGATGGTAGTGGGGGTGTTGGTGGTGGTGGTGGTGATGGGGTAGTGGTAGTGCCCCTCCCCTTGCTGTCTTCCTGCAGCTCCTGCATCTGGACTATTCCCCACATACTTCAAGAATGCCACAATAAGATTAATCCCCAAGCCAGGTAAACCCCCAACCCAAACTGAAAACTACAGGCCAATTTCCCTCCTCGAAGTACCAGGTAAAATATTCGAAAAAATTATCAATCAGAGACTTGTGAAGTACATGGAAGAGGAAGGGAAGTATAACACCAGGCAGCATGGGTTTAGATACCGCAGAGGGCCCATACAGCTATAGCCCTGATCTACGAGCATATAGCCAACGCAGTGTCGAAAAAAGATCAGTGTAATTTAGTGCTTAGGGACGTCTCGAAAGCCTTCGACAAAGTGTGGCACACAGGCCTAAAATATAAGATATCTGAACTAGGGCTTCCTGAGAGATTTACTGCTACTCTCTGCAGCTTTATAGACAACAGAACTGCTAGGCTTAATATCGACAGCTACTTGGGTGACGTAATAGATTTGAAAAGTTGAGTACCACAAGGAAGCTGCCTCTCCCCACTCTATTCAACATATATACAGCTGACCTACCCCAACCCCAACATGGAGAATACATCACATACGCTGACGATGTCACCCAAATAATATGCCAACCGGGCCCATCAAAGCCGCTACTAGCCAACAAGACCAAGGCAGCAATTGAACTCATAAACAACTTTGAGAAGCAATGGAAAATTATCACCAACAAACAAAAGTTTCCGATAATACACATTGCGAAAAGAAATCCGGACCTCATCATCCTTGACAACCATCCGATCCAGTATGCGGAGGTCGGCAGAATACTGGGACTTATGATAAATAGAACAGGGATACAAATTCATGTAAGGGACCGACTAAACAAAGCCAAAGCAGCCTTAGGAAAATCGAGGAGATTCCGTAGCCTCAGTACTAACATTCAGATCTACCTATATAAGGCTCTAGTTCGGCCGCATCTAGAGTATCCCCCAGTACCACTACACACCATAAAGAAAACTAACATGCAGAAACTGCAAGCAGTGCAAAATAAGGCGCTAAGGAGAGCAGCAAAACACCGTCCACCACATGATCAGACAATCCAGGAGCTCCACGAACTCCTGAACATACAACCACTAAACATCAGACTGCAGCACCAAGCCATCAGGGTGTGGAACACCATCCAAATGTTAGAGGACCCGATGTTAGAAAAATTACTCCAAGATGAGACGCCCCGCTCCCATAGCTGGTGGCCCAAGATGAGACGCCCCGCTCCCATAGCTGGTGGCCCAAGATGAGACGCCCCACTCCCACAGCTGGTGGCCCAAGATGAGACGCCCCGCTCCCACAGCTGGTAGCCCAAGATGAGACGCCCCGCTCCTACAGCTGGTGGCCCAAGATGAGACGCCCCGCTCCCACAGTTGGTGGCCCAAGATGAGACGCCCCACTCCCACAGCTGGTGGCCCAAGATGAGACGCCCCGCTCCCACAGCTGGTGGCCCAAGATGAGACGCCCCACTCCCACAGCTGGTGGCCCAAGATGAGACGTCCCACTCCCACAGCTGGTGGCCCAAGATGAGACGCCCCACTCCCACAGCTGGTGGCCCAAGATGAGACGCCCCGCTTCCACAGCTGGTGGCCCAAGATGAGACGCCCCGCTCCCACAGCTGGTGGCCCAAGATGAGACGCCCCGCTCCCACAGCTGGTGGCCCAAGATGAGACGCCCCGCTCCCACAGCTGGTGACCCAAGATGAGACGCCCCGCTCCCACGGCTGGTGGCCCAAGATGAGACGCCCCGCTCCCACAGCTGGTGGCCCAAGATGAGACGCCCCGCTCCCACAGCTGGTGGCCCAAGATGAGACGCCCCGCTCCCACAGCTGGTGGCCCAAGATGAGACGCCCCGCTCCCACAGCTGGTGGCCCAAGATGAGACGCCCCGCTCCCACAGCTGGTGGCCCAAGATGAGACGCCCCGCTCCCACAGCTGGTGGCCCAAGAGCCTCGATTCAGTAGATGAAAACCCCGCCCCACAGTACATAATTCCCAGATGAAATACTGACCAGATATCCTTCCCCCATAATTGAAAAATTGAGTATGTATGTGTGTGTACACACAGCTCCCTGACAAGAGGGAGCCAGCTTAGCTTAGCTGCCAACACCCACACATGGTGTCAGCAAGGCGGACAGCCCGCCTGCTTTCATACCTCTCACTCTATTTCCCACTTCTATACTTCCCTTCACCTATGCCTCTCCTTCCTCTTTACTCCAAAAATAAGAAAGAACTTCCCATTCCCTCGTGCATCTGGCCTTGTTCCTCTCACACACCGCGCATGCGCCGTACGCCCATGACTCCTCCCTTTCACGCCCATATTGCTGGTGCGTGGGCGAGGGCCCGGGGAGGGGTGTGGGGGCCCGGGCCCTAGTGGTCAACTTGTGTTATGATGAAACAGGTGCCCCCCACACACACCTGCCTGTGGGGGGGGGGGGGGGGGGTACACCTGCCCGGCACTCACCTTCCCTGTGTGGGGGTGTGGGGGTGTTCACCTAGTTGTGCTTGCAGGGGTTGTAGGGGAGGGAGGGGAGGGCAGGGGGGGGGGCACACGCATCAAGTCTGTGCCAGTGTTGTGGAGACCTGGTGTGTTGGTGGAGGGGGCGGGGGCGTCGCGCCCAGTTTTTGAGAGCGTGAAAGGGAGGGGGGGGGGGTTGGCCAGGTCCTCCTTCGCTCGAGAGCCACACCAGCCGCCCGAGAGCCACACCAGCCGCCCGAGAGCCACACCAGCCGCCCGAGAGCCACACCAGCCGCCCGAGAGCCACACCAGCCGCCCGAGAGCCACACCAGCCGCCCGAGAGCCACACCAGCCGCCCGAGAGCCACACCAGCCGCCCGAGAGCCACACCAGCCGCCAGAGAGCCACACCAGCCGCCCGAGAGCCACACCAGCCGCCCGAGAGCCACATCAGCCGCCCGAGAGCCACACCAGCCGCCCGAGAGCCACACCAGCCGCCCGAGAGCCACACCAGCCGCCCGAGAGCCACATCAGCCGCCCGAGAGCCACACCAGCCGCCCGAGAGCCACACCAGCCCCGCCCTAGAGCCATACCAGCCCGCCCGAGAGCCACACCAGCCGCCCGAGAGCCACATCAGCCGCCCGAGAGCCACACAGCCGCCCGAGAGCCACACCAGCCGCCCGAGAGCCACATCAGCCGCCCGAGAGCCACATCAGCCGCCCGAGAGCCACACCAGCCGCCCGAGAGCCACACCAGCCGCCCGAGAGCCACACCAGCCGCCCGAGAGCCACATCAGCCGCCCGAGAGCCACATCAGCCGCCCGAGAGCCACACCAGCCGCCCGAGAGCCATACCAGCCGCCCGAGAGCCACACCAGCCGCCCGAGAGCCACACCAGCCGCCCGAGAGCCACACCAGCCGCCCG